TGTAGTATAATTACATTTATTATTGTAAAATTATTTCATATTTATGTATATATATATATAAGTAAAAAAAAAAAAAAACAAAAAGTGTACTCGTCATAATTATGCGTGCGTTAACGTCACCTATCATGACGTCATTGAAATTGATCGAATTTCAAACACACTGTTTGCACCGAAATTATTAAGTATTATGATTCATTATGAATATGTAATTATAATTATCGAAATATGTATCTCGAGCATGCTATTCCAATGTTCGAATAATTTCTCTCACAAAATCAAATATTACAAAATAAGAAAGAAAAATGAACGCAACACGTTTTTTATATTTTTCAATGATTTTTTAAAATTAACCATTCATTTAAATGGCAAACAACGTGATCGTGTCTAACAATAAAAGTGCCAACTCATCAGACTAATACTCGAAAGTATATTTCAGCATATTTTCTTATAATAAAACAGAATATTAACACCCCATTCGATATTTTTCAGCTAATTTTCACGAAAATTTGTAACACTCAAACGATTAAAAACAAATCAAAATTCGTACCTGGTTCTACGACTACTAAAAATCAAAAAATTTTTTGACCAATCGGAGATTAACATATTAGATCATTAAGAATGTTCAATTTCGAACTGAAAATAAATTGAACGATAAGATGATTCATGTTTAAAAATCTGACACAAACCATACATGTAAAAATACGAGTATGCAAGAATATAAAATAATTATACACCAGTTGAACGAAAATTTGGAAGATTGTAGCATTAGTTGATTGTATGGGTGTATATACGATATACGTGAATCGATAGTTATTGCGAGATTCAAAGTTATAATCCAAATTAACACGAATTTGACTTATGATCCCTCTCATGGTTCGTTGGTCCAACTTATCGAATAACTTTGGGGGATGACTGTATTTACAACGAAATTTTCAGTATCCGATGATCTATTATATCATATATGTGCCCATAATTATGAAAGTGGTCTAATTGTAAGTCAAAATTAAACAAAAATAAATCAGTTTATTAGTTATTTCACATCACATTATTTTAAATTAAATTAATTCAATGTAATTTTCACAATATTGTTAAAAATGAACCGTTAGATAGTGTTTGTTATTTCAATATTATATAGAATTTATTTAATTTTCAAATGTAATCCTTTAACTAGTTAACTGTGTCGATCATTTTGCAAAGTGCGCCCTAGTGTGTGTCGCGATAATCAAGCGATGACGGATATAATCGTCAAACACAGAGTAACTGGCGCTGTTGAAATATTTGATCAAAAAGACGACTTTATTTTAGAAAATGAATGAATTTATAAGTAATATTTAAACAATGGATCAACGTAAACCTATATTTACACATAATTAACGAAAAACTTAAAAAAAAATCAAATATTTAACAAACAAACAAACAAACAAAATTTTTTTTTTTTTCCTTGGTTTGACATCGCGGACATCATCGC